GCCACATCACGACAGCTCTAGGAGCAGAACTGCTCTGCAGGCACCCTGCTGCTCAGGAAACACAGACTCTGTGAGCAGCCCCTCCTCAGGGCAGGGTGCTATGCTCCAGGAGGGCCCCATGCCACTGCCTCTGCTCTGAGGGCCAGGCCCTGCTGCTGCCACTGTTTCTCCCAGTCACTACTGAGTGCTCTGCTTTCTACCAGGTCCAGCTCTCCATCAGTGTAACAGCTCTTCTATCAGGAGTACAGCTCCTTGCCAGGCCTGAGAGAGTCCTCAGTGCACGGTCTCTATGTCCCAAAGGACACACCTATCCTTCTGGCTCTCACTGATCAGGAGGCTCCAAAAACCTCTTATGTTTCTACCATTTATGTAGGCCATTTCTTGCCAGCTTCAAGGCGGGGCCTCCCTAGCCAGATCAGAGTCCAACCACTCCTAGCTGGATAGAAGCCCAACCAATTCTCTTGACCAGATCAGAGCCCAAACAATCCTTGATTACCCAAGAAGTATCAGTCAACTCGGGAAATCCCTTCCCAAGTTGCTCTTTTCCACAAACCCAGGACAAAAAGGCCACATAAGGAAATCTATTACACTACACCAGGTATTAAGAAATAATGCCCTCCTTCAGAGACAACTTACCTCAAATTCCTATCATCATTTATTCTGTTACTAGAATGTTTTTAAAAGAGGCAACTCTCTATTTGATGTGGACAGCTGTTCCCTTTCCTTATGTTCTGGAGAATATAAAGATAAGGAGAGATGAATTTATTGAGAATAAGCTGTTCCTAGTAAAGGAAAAGGGAAAGCTAGCATTAGCTAATGTGAAGGGGTCATATCACAATTTTACAGGCTGGTAAAAATGTTTGCTAGGCCAAAGGATTTCATATAATTTCCTTTTTTGAGAACAAAGACGAGGATTTTGAATAATAAATAAGTGTAATGAAATAATTCTGAAGTGACTGCAGGGCATGCCAGATTCAATTCAAATAAGTCACAGCCAAAGATAGAAGGAAGACCCTGCAATCATCCCTTTTCTACTATAAATTTTTAATATTTTCATAATTAGTCAGCATTTAGTTTATAAAATTTTATCTAGCATTTATCTTAAAATTTTTCTCCCTTCTGTAACTTAAATGCCACTATAAAACTGCAATGTAGGCTGGAGAATATAACAAGTCTACTCAGGGTAAACATGTGAGTTATTTTCTCCTAATTTTTGTCACTGGAGTATGTTCAAAGAGAAAACTCTATTAGATGTGAACAGTTGTTCTCTTTTCTTATATTCTAAGGAACACAGATAAGGAGATACACGGTGTTAGAATAACGAGGGGAAAAAAGACAAGGTGCATCAGTGGACATAAAAGGTCAGACTACAATGCTATTGGCGGGACAGCCAGGGTGAAAATGTTTCCAGGTTTCCATATTTAACTGACCTCTGAATTTACTACTGTCATTGAGTTGTCCTGTTGGCCACTATAAGGCCTTATGATTATCTGATTTCTCATTACCAGCACACTGAACACCAAGAAAAGTCCAGAAGAATGTACTATCATTTATTATATTTTCTTTTCACACCTACTGAGTAGTTGGGACTTCCTGTGAAACAGGAAAAAAGTACTCTATACTTTCATGGGAAAGCCTGGTGGCATAATAGTTAAGACCAGACTTACTGGCCTGACAGAGACTAGAGAAACTCCGAGAGTATGCCAGACACCCTTTCAGTTCAGTAATGAAGTCACTCCCAACGTTCACCCTTCAGCCAAAGATTAGACAGCCCCATAAAACAAAATGAGACTAATGGGTCACAACAGTCCAGGGACAAGGACTAGAAGGCAGAAGGGGACAGGAAAGCTGGTAATAGGGAATCCTAGGTCGAGAAAGGACAGTGTTGACATGTCATGGGGTTGGTAACCATTTTCATAAAACAATATATGTACAAACTGTTTAATGAGAAAGTATTTATTCTGTAAACCTTCGTCTAAAGTACAATAAAATAAAGAAAAGAAAAAAAAAGTTAAGCTGCTAACCAAAAGGTCAGCAGTTTGAATCCACCAGGTGCTCCTTGGAAACCATACGGGACAGTTCTACTCTAACCTATAGGGTCACTATGAGTCAGAATCAACTCGACGGCAACAGGTTTGTTTTTTTTTGGTTTATACTTTCATGTGTTACACCAGCAACCTATTAGTCTAAGTATATGTGACCAGTGTTACCCTTTTTATTTTCATTTCAAGAAAAGTAGAGAGCTTTTTAAAAATCTCCAATTTCCCTCCCACTAAAATTAAAAGCCTGGGATGCAAATAACCCAACTGAAACAAGAGAAAAATTAAGTAATATTTATTTATAAGTACATACAAAAAAGGGAAAATCCAGAGCAAAAAACATACTACTTGGGAAAATTATTACAATGTTTTAATGTGTTAAGCATATAATTTAGTCAGAGATTATTATTAATTAGCATTACTGTTTCTAGCTGTGTATCTAGGAAAAACAAAAACAAAAACCGTTGCCATGGAGTGGATTCCAACTCACAGTGACCCTATAGGACAGAGCAGAACTGCCCCGCAGGGTTTCCAAGCAGCAGCTGTGGATTCAAACTGCTCACTTTCTGGTTAGCAGCCGTAGCTCACCGTAGCTCTTAACCACTGAACCACCAGGGCTCCATGTTTAGTAAGAATATATCAATTAATATTTTTTAAAGAGAACAGAAAAAGTATGCTTCCTCAATTCAATGTTCATTTTCTAAAACAATGATGCTCAAAAGAACAGTCAAAAACTGAAGGAAGGGTAAATTTAATAAGATATAGACACATAAAATATGGGGGGATTGAGGGAGTGGATCTGGCTGGATTTTTTTTTCTTTTGGAAGAAGGGAATTGTTTTGGATATTACTTCAGTAGAGAGAGTGCTTAGGAAAGAAGTATAAATTCAGAGGGCCTAGAAAGAGTCATGTCACCAGAAGATCTGGAAAACTATTCAGTAGTGGCCTCCCATCTCTGTGCTCTGAGGAGACTCGAATATGAATGAATGCATTAAGAGAAGCCTCTCCCACCTGACCTAATGGGTAGACTGTGCTAGCACCATCAGATATTAACATTATTAAAATAAATTATTTAAGTGCCCTGGGGTTCATGTTCTTAAACTAAGCAACTCAATTCAAAAGACAAGATGTAGCTGCTATGACATAAAAGCTCAACTAGTGCTTTGGCCTCATAATACTATCTGGAACTTAAGGTCCCTACTAAAAACTGTTATGTTTAAAAATACATCAATCAGGAATTATCCTGATTTAAGACTGTTTAGAATGCCATAAGAGATATACAGACTACACTGCAGGTGCTCATTTCCATAGCATATAGGTATTCGGGATGGGGGGGAAGAAAAACATCAATCTTGAAAAGCAACTTCCAAGACATAGGAGAAAACCAGAGCATCTCACTGTGATTTTCCTTCCCTCACACACTTCCAGAGCAGCAGACACCTTCACAGAACATTCCTGCAGTCTGGTTACTTTACCACTTAGCAATTCTTGATGATTTCAAAGATGCTACACTATTAAAGACAGTTTTTTGTTGTGTTGCTAATAAAAACTTGGGCTCTTCAAATTGCTAAAAATTACAAAGATCTAAAAATCTCTCTTGGACTCCACCTCTATTAAAGAAGAATGATGCTGTTAATGGTCAAATAAATGCAAGTAGAAAGTTTCTGAAGTACTCTGAGAACATTTTCAGAGATAATCATTCCACAATTTCTCTTAGTGAAATTCAAGAAAGGTCGGAAATAGCCACTTTCAAAGTAGTGCTCCAATTACCCAGCGGGCTTTAGAAAAAAAGCCCTATGCTCATCACAAAGGTTTAGGGAGGTGAGATGCTCAGATAACCTTGAACCGCTCCAGAAGAGCTGACTCCGTAGGCAATTTTTTTCTGCTTGTAACAAATCAGAAGATAAGAAAATCCAAAGGTTTTTGTTTCAGCATCTGGCTGCTATGAAGGTTAAGTACAAAGTAACAAAAATGAAGAAACCTACACAACCTGAAGCCACTTGCTTTATCTGAACTTCACAGCTTAACATATTACCGCATCTAGGAATGACAGTATTTGAATTAAGCTGTTATTTTTCTCAGTAAGAGAACACACTTTTAAACTGATTTAAATGTTTGAGAAATGTCCACTAAAACATTAGGACAGCCTAGGGTAGAACTGGGTTTCTGCCAAAGAGTAATAACCAAGCGCAAAAATCAAAAACAAACCCATTGCCTTAGAGTCGATCCCGACTCATAGCTACCCTATAGGACAGAGTAGAACTGCCCGATAGGATTTCCAAGGCTATAAATCTTTACGGAAGCAGACTGCCACATATTTCTCCCACAGAACGACTGCTGGGCTCGAACTGCCAACCTTTCAGTTAGCAGTCGAGTGCTTAACCACTGCACCACCAGAGCTCCTTAACCAAGCTGAGTCCCTCAGATACCAACGCAAGTACACACAGCAGTAACTGTTACTCAAACAGTAGATCATCCGACCATCTTTCAATTATTTCATTGTTTGGCATTCCAAGTTACACACCAATGAATCAGTTAACAAGATTCTTATTTAGGACACAGTTGAGATATAAACCCCCATCAAATTTTAAGAAACATACAGAATTTAAAAATGCATTTACAGTGTCATGGAAACATGTATGTAACAGAAAACCTTATTATTTTAAGTAGCCAGAAAAATACCTGAACTATTTGGTCTGTAAAGATGACAAGGGTGAATTCAGAAATCAATGACTAAAACTGAATAGGGTTTCTCCTCTTCTACTTTTCCATTTCTGCCTCTTAGCAGTAAAAACAAAGGAGCAAAAGCAAGTATAAAAAAAAATCTAGGATCCACATTTGATAAATCAAAATTGCGCTGCAATAGCAGGGCTTCTAAAAATGAGTGTCTGAGTGACATTCCTTTACCCTCACTCCAGCGCCACTGACTCAACGTGACTTTGTGACTAATCTACCAACTCACCTTATTCCATTGCAAAGTTGGTAGTAAATCTTGCTTGTGACACCCACTTGAGGTACTCTCTCAAAATCTAGAGTAAAATAATTATGAAGTTCAGTTCAATATAAAGAATATAAATTTATCATAAAGTAAATAGTATAAAGTTATTTCCAAATTTTGAAAAACCACACAACTCTCATAGTAAAGGGAAAAAAATGAACCATTACAACTTAAATCATAATTGTGAAATGCTACACTTTAACTCATTCTTCTTGTTGTGTGCCATCGAGTCAATTCCAACTCACAGAGACCCTCTATGACAGAGTAGAACTGCCTCAATCTTTACAGAGCTTTCCTAGCTGTAATCTTTATGCAGGAAGCCCTGGTGGTGCCATGGTTAAGCACTCAGTTGCTAACCAAAAGGTTGGTGGTTGGAACCCACAAGCAGTTCCTCGAGAGACAGATGTGGCAGTCTGCTTCTGTAAAGATTACAGCCTAGGAAACACTACGGAGCAGTTCTACTCTGCCCTATAGAGTCACTATGAGTCGGAATTGACTAGGCGGCAACGGATTAGGTTTTTGGTTAATCTTTATGGAAGAAGCCCTGGTGGAGCAATGGTTACGCACTCGACTAGCCAAAAGGCTGACAGTTCAAACCCACCAGCTGCTCCTTGGGAGAAAAGATCGGTCGATTGTCTCCCATAAATATTTCAGCCTAGGAAACCCTATGAGGCAGTTCTACTTTGTCCTATAGGGTTGCTATGAATCAGAATGGACTAGGAGGCACACAACAACAACAATCTTTACAGAAGCAGACTGCCACATCTGTCTCCCGAAGAATTGCTGGTGGGTTCGAATGGCAGACCTTTCGGTTAGCAGCTGAGCGCTTAACCATTGCACTACCAGGGCTCCTTTTTAACTATAACTCTTTACTTAGTAATCTCTTTATATGTAGTTCAACACACATTTAAATTCAAGCCAACAATAGCCACTCCCACTTAAACAACAAATTCTCAAACCTGACTATTCAGTCTCTAGGTCAACTGTTGTTCCTGAACCTCACCCCAGATGATCTGTTCAGGAAGTCTGGGGAGAGAACCAGGAACCTGTATGTATAAGAAGCCCCCCAACAAGGTGATTGATGTAGTTGGTCCATTATCTACCTACAGGAACCACTGTTCCAACTCAGTGTTTCTCAACAAGGAGTAATCTCCGCCCTCCCCCAGTGAAGAGACCAACGTCCCTAGGGGATATCTAGCAATGTGTGGAGACATCCTGGGTTGTCACAACTGATGGAAGTGCTACTGGCCAGAAATGCTACTAAAGATCTTACAATGCACAAGACACTCCCCCACAACAAAGAATTATCTGGCATTAAATGTCAATAGTGCTGAGGCTAAGAAACCACGTCCCAATGCAACCAAACATTCTAATTATTTAGAAATTCTCCAACAATTCTTACACTGCTCGTTTCAGCCAGGTGGTAACTCCCACTAGTCATAAAACATTTCCTAGGAATGCTAAGCTTATTATTAATTAAGGGAATACACCTACATGTTGTTGTTGTTGTTAGATGCCGTTAGGTCAGCTCCAACTCACAGCAACCGTGTGTACAACAGAATGAAATACTGCCCAGTCCTGCGCCGTTCTCACAATCATTTACATTTGAGCCTATTGTTGCAGCCACTGTGTCAATCCATCTCGTTGAGGTTCTTCCTCTCTTTCACTGGCCCTCTACTTTACCAAGCATGATGTCCTTTTCCAGGGACTGGTCTCTCCTGATAACATATCCAAACTACATGAGACGAAGTCTCATCATTCTCGCTTCTACGGAACATTCTAGCTGTACTTCTTCCAAGACATATCTGTTCCTTCTTCTGGCAGTCCATGGTATATTCAATATTCTTCACCAACACCATAATTCAAAGGCATCAATTCTTCTCTGGTCTTCATTATTCATTATCCAGCTTTCACATGCTTATGAGGCAACTGAAAATATTATGGCTTGGGTCAGGTGTACCTTAGTCCTCAAAGTGGCATCTTTGCTTTTTAACGCTTTATAGAATTCTTTACAGCAGATTTGCCCTATGCAATACACCATTTGATTTCTTGACTGCTGCTTCCATGGGAATGGATTGTGCATCCAAGTATAGAAGCCTCCCGCTTATGTTCGGTTTCACTCTCTGCGGTTTCAGTTACTGGCAAGTCAGGTACCCGCAGTCAACCGCGGTTCAAAAATGTTAAATGAGTATATATCATGATGAAATCTCTATGCCAACCCGCTCTGTCCTTCACACAACTTTTATTACATTTTATTACATATTTGTAATTGTTCTATTTTATTATTCGTTATTATTGTTAATCTCTTACTGTGCCTAATTTATACGTTAAACTTTATTATAGGTATGTATGTATAGGACAAATCACAGTATATGTAGGATTTGGTACTATCTGCAGTTTTGGGCATCTAAAGGAGGTCTTGGAACTTATCCTCTGTGGATAAGGGGGGACTACTGTAAAATAAAATCCTTGACAACTTCAATGTTTTCTCCATTTATCACAATGTTGCTTATTGGTCCAGTTGTGTGGATTTTTGCTTTCTTTATGTTGAGGTGTAATCCATACTGAAGGCTGTAGTCTTCATCAGTAAGTGCTTCAAGTCCTCTTCACCTTAAGCAAGCAAGGTTGTGTCATCTGCATATCACAGGTTGTTGATTAGTCTTCCTCCAATCCTGATGCCCCGTTCTTCATATAGTCCAGCTTCTCGGATTATCTGCTCAGTATACAGACTGAATAAATATACTGAAAGGATAAAACCCTGACACACACCTTTTCTGATTTTAAACCACATAGTATTCCCTTGTTCTGTTCAAATGACTGCCTCTTGGTCTATGTACAGGTTCCTCATGAGCACAATTAAGTTCTGGAATTCCCATTCTTTGCAATATTATCTATAATTTGTTATGATCTACACAGTCAAATGCCTTTGCATAGTCAATAAAACACAGGTAAACATCTTTCTGGTATTCTCTGCTTTCAGCCAAGATTCATCTGAAATCAGCAATGATATCCTTCATTCCACGTCCTCTTCTGAATCCAGTTTGAATTTCTAACAGTTCCCTGTCAATGTATGCATGCACATACATGTCCAATATTAATAATTTGTAATACAGATATCTGTTTCTAAAAATAATAAAATAAACCAGATTCTATATGCTCATAAGAGCTTATAAGAAACTGATTTTTAAAGTTTGCTGAGGTTAAACCTATTATTTCAAACAATGTTAATTCCCAAACTCTGTTCCTAATCAAAGTAAATGGTAGCAAAGAAGGATACACAGAACTTGTTTTCACTCACAGATATTCCCAATTCCTAGGGAGGACAAGAGAGTTTCTCTCCCCAGACTGTCGCCTTGGACAGTAGGATTCTCTTTTCAACTCAGTGCAACCAGAAAACATATTTTATTTGGCCAAATATAAAGGTACGTCAAAACTTATTTTGCTGTTGTGGTTGTTAGGTGCCATCAAGTCGGTTTCAACTCACAGCAACCCTATGTACAACAGAATATAACACTGCCTGGCCCTGCGCCATCCTCACAATCATTGCTATGTTTGAGCCCACTGTTGCAACCACTGTGTCAATCCATCTCATTGAGGGTCTTCCTCTTTTTTGCTGACCCTCTACTTTACCAAGCATGATGTCCTTCTCCAGGGACTGGTCACTCCTGATAATATGTCCAAAGTAAGTGAGAGGAAGTCTCACCATCCTCCCTTCAAAAGGAGACTTAACAAGGGCCTATTATGGACACTACGGTCTTACACAATACAGCAGGACAGAGTTCCTTTCCTACCCTTCCATAACCAAATGGTATAAACATCAGAAGAAAACTCTGGGGATATGAAATCTATAAAAGATATTTCAGAAGGCCCAGCTAATAAAACTGCAATTTATAAACGACTGGCCTACAGATCCCTCAGAATAGGTAGAGAAACTTGTAAGACACGTACTTCGTTTTGTTAATCTTAACTAATGTGCTATTACCTAGAAATTACATAAATAATACATTCCTGGCAGCTGATTTGCACTAGTAATCACTTAGGTACATGAATAAACATGCAAATTTTAAACTCAAGCGAAAGGATATGATCTATGAACATAATTAGGAAGATTCCATTAGAATGACTCCATTCCAACTGGACAACTTTTCTAGTATGTAGCATATGGGTTTACATTCTAATTATAGACTGATTTCTTCCTCTGAATCCCCAGTCCTTGCAGGAACTGCTCAAATCAAACTGAACCACAAGAACCCCAGGCAACAGATGGGGTGATAAGGAGAGAGGCAGAGGCTGGTGTTCAAATCTCAAGGCACCAAGAGGTTTGACCATCAGGTAGAATCACTGGCAGAGGCAAGACTCTAATCTGGAGCTCCCAGTCAGGGCCTTGGTGGCCTGTGGACTAGGCAAGTCATTAGGAAGCCTTAGTGATTGCTATGCTTATGCAAAGTCGGGATGAAGTAGGATGCGGTTAGCATTCATTCTAGATACAAGGAGCTTGTGATACCAATTCAGAGTCCAGTGCTCCTATAATAAAGGAAGACTACTGAGGAAAGTGGTTTTAGCCAAGAGCAGAAAAATAATGACCTGGTTAATATCCTTCAATGCCTAAAAAGATGAATCAATGCTACAACAAAAGAAGGCCCAAAAATTACTGGGAGGGCTAAGAAACATTTGTGCACAATATAAAATTTAACCCTATCCCTATTTTTCTATATTTAAACAGGTCTTTAAATAAAAACTCACAATAAAATCTCAAAACATAAACATTTCATTTTTTCCCCTCTCAGCAGTAAAATATATTCGGTTCCAAAAAAGAAAGGTTGCTCAATTTCCTGTCAAAAGCGATCCAGAGAAGGCCACCTACGCTGTAAAAGCAGCAAGAAAAAACATAATAAAATGCTGAAGAAAAGCCTGTATATGTGGGTGTATGCTAAGTGCAATGTACCTACCATCCTGGGTATTTAAAAGCTTTTCCCTGCATCATTCTGAGAAATATGAATATTAGTGTATCTGATAAAGAGAAGTTTATCC